CTTGTCCAGTGTTCGGTTAACAAATCAAACCGTCGACGTCATATCTCCGGTTTCTAAGTTATATCCAATCAATGGAATGAGAGGTCAGATTTTTTTAGCAACGTTTCTTCGTTTCAAGCGCCTACAAACGATCGAGCCATCCAGTGTAGATGATCTGCCGATCCGTCATTATATATATTTTAGAAAAGTAATAGTTCGTTATTTTATTCAATCAAATCTTGTTTATAAAATTGTTTGGAAATTAATATTGTAAATAAATTCTTGTCATATTTTGTATTTAATGTAACGTTATGATTATTACTTCGGTCCGGTTTAGTCCGCTTTGGGTTTGTTACCAAAGAAGAAATGTCCGGTAATTTTGACTTTTGGGTTTGGCAATCCTACCTCGATATCGCGCCGAGCGTGAGCAACGCGCGATGTGTGATCACCGTCACATCATCGCCGCTGCAACGAGCCGCGGCAAAGGGCGCGAGGGTTAACACGATAGGATCGTCGCCGTCGCGCTCGCCGATTCCCGAAGCGCGAGATTTCCGATACTTGGCGCGATACACGCGTGCGCGCGGTATGATTTATTAAAATATCGCAGCGAGTGCGCGCGCGCGTGCGTCACGTTTCGTGACGGAGACGCATGAATTCGAAGAACGTGATATTTTTCCACCCGCCCCTCGCCCCCCTTCGTTTTTTACAACGGCGGAGAATAAAAACGCTTCGCCGGTTTTATCATAACAAAAGAGCGGGAAGATCGATGGACACGAATATTTTGATATTTAACCGTTACTCTCGGTGAAAATAGTTTTGAACGAACGGCTTCTCGAATTATTAATATCGCGAATATTCCGCGCGTGACGCTCATCCCATCCAGCGTCGCCGGGGCCGAATATGGCGAATATCATTATATCCGTTCTCGGGGCTATTTATAAAATCTCTCGCGCGACATCCGACTAAAAAGCAGCCGGGTCTTGCGCGCGCCCGCGTGGTCGCGATATGCAAAAATCCGAAAAACAAAAAAGAGAAGGAGCAACAACGCGAATGTTTCTCCCGCCAGCGACGCGATCATGCGAACGCGAAAGCGGAGAGGAACGGAACGAGAAATAAAAGAAAAATAAAGAGAAAAAAGGAAAAACGGGCGAAATAATTGCGGGATATTTCCGCGCGCAAATCTCAGCGCGCAGGGGATAATCATCGCGGGGCGGGGGGGGGGAGGGGGCGAGGGGAAGTAGGCAGCCGAGATATGTTTGATCTATAATACGGGAGTACACCTTATATCTGATTCGACGGGCCGCGCGCTGCGACATGAACATGATATCACAATAGTGACACCGGCAACGAGGGTGCCGGGGTCGTGCACGCGACGAGTAATACATGCGATACCGCACGCACGTGATGTAACAGGATGCAGTGCGTGACCGGCAAGCAGGTCGAGCTTGTAATGGGCAGGCCGGACTCGCGCGAACCAGTGTCGTGTGCCGCCAATAATTCCGCTCAAAAGGCACGATCCCCCGAGCTAATGACGAGCGGGAATTCGCCTTTGTTTACGAGCCCATACAATCCGACTGCCATACATTTTGCCCCCCCCCCCCCCGCTGCGATTGCGTATTCATAATTGTGGGGGCAGACGGACAGGACCGGAGAAAAGGTAAAAGTACGACGACTTCGATCGCCGAGCGCGATACGCGTCGCTCCGCGGCCGAGTCGGCGAGGAAACGTCGCTGCTCCGTCGGAGCTGGCGAGCGAGGTAAGCTCGCCCTGAGGAAATCTCGCGCGTCGTTATCGGGTTGTTCGGGAAGTAATTTCGATATTTTTTCAAACAGGTGGTGTTGGTTGCCTTTTTAAGCAGCTAACCTCATTCTAAACCAGAACATCGTTATACATTTTTACAAGGCACATCTCAAGTTTCGTTTGAAGAAGATTCGTTTTGCAATCTGTCACGTTGTTTTCGTTTGGCGTGCCATCAAAAGTGAAAAATCAACGTGAGCGTTTTTTCGTCGCATTTTGCTTTTTTACTACCGTAAAGGCAACAATACAGCGCAAGCAAGAAAAGAATTATGTATCGTTTATAGAGAGGATGTGTTGACTGCACGTCAGTGTCAGAATTGGTTTTCGAAATTTCGTTCGGGGAATTTCGATCTCAAAGGTGCATCACGTTCTGGAAGGCCAGTTGAGACTGATGAAGACCAAATAAAGGCATTAGTGGACGCGCAAATGGTCATTTGACAGCATGCTGAAATTGCTGAGAATTTGAATCGATCGAATTCGATCGTGCATGAATATTTGAAGCAACTTGGTTTCGTATCAAAGCTCGATATTTGGATTCCACATGTTCTCAAAGAAAGAGATTTGATTAGTTTATACCATCTGCGATTTGCTGTTGAAACGTGAGAGAAACGATCCATTTTTGAAGCGACTCATAAGTGGAGATGAAAAATAGATTGTGCGCGACAATATTAAACGCAAAAGATCATGGAGCAGATGAACCAGCTCAAAGCACACCGAAAGCTGATATCCATCAAAAGAAGCTCGCTGTTTGGTAAGATTGGAAAGGAATGTTTCTTTTGAACCGCTACCAAACAACCAAACGATTGATTCGAATGTGTATTGTCATCAATTGGACAAATTGAATGATTCCATCGGACAGAAGAGACCAGAATTGGAGAACAGAAAAAATGTTGTGTTTCATCATAACAACGCTAGATCTCACACAAGTTTGATGACTCACCGGAAGGTGTTGGCGCTTGGATGGGATTTGCTACCACATCCACCATATTCATCTGATCCGGCATCATCCGATTATCACTTACTTCGATCGCTGCAAAATTCTTTGGATGGTAAAAATTTCGATTCAAATGAAGATGTCAAAAACCACTTAATTCAGTCTTTTGCCAATAAGGACCAGAAGTTTTACCAGCGTGGAATCATGTTGTTATCTCAAAGCATTGGCAAAAGGTGTTAGAACAAAATGGTCAATACTCAACGGAACAAAACTTTTCTTTCTATTAAAAATACCGTCTCTTTCATTTTCAAGCAAGAAAACCGAAATTACTTTCCGAACAACCCAGTTTGACCTCTTAAAGGCTACCGTGGGTGGAATTTCATCCCCTGCAAGTGTTCGATCTTATTGAAAAACGTAGCAACGATCTCGCACATACTTTGCTGTAAACAATAACAAGAGTTAGCTCGGGGTGATGTTTGACGGTAGCTTTTAAGGATTAACACGCTGGTGCTTCGGTGACCGTCAGCGGCGTAAACTCCGCCGGATCTGCTGCAATTGGCCCGACATTGTTCCCGAGCGTTCCGCAACTTGCCGTTCCTACGGAGCGCTATTCCGGATTTCTACTTCCGGGGATGGCCGATGCGGCGTAATTCGCGCAATAACGAGGAGCGAGGAGCATCGGTCGGTTTTACGCGTTTACGGTTTTAACCGTTTGAGTCCCAAGCAGCGCGATCGCGCTGTTCAGATTTTATGTCGAGAAAACCCAGTACATTTCGACCATTGTGGACAACTGACGGTGCGTTACCGATTGTCGAAGTCGCGCGCTCAGATTTACTGAAGCAAGTATATCACACCGATCCTTTTAACGTAAATAGTACATTTTATAATAGGTAGAATAATACTATAATAATGCAATAATACATTACAAAATAAAAATTTTTATTTCATCGTTATCTTCTCAATAATTTTTATCGAACAAAACTTGAAATATTTATAAATTTACAGTACGCATATGTAATAATACAGATGTATTTTATAAAATAACGAATTACAAATTAACAATATTTTTGTGTTATGAACAAATAATTTAAATGGAGAGTAACAATTATAATTTGTAACATCGGTGTTTATCAAAACATGTTGGATGGATTCCTTTTGCTTCGTTGCTCCGTTGCTTCGTCTAATCATTTTGAAACACACAATTATTAACAATGAGAAACACTTACGCAAGAATACGTCCGATCGCTTTGCAAACTACAATAAATGTGACAGAGCGATGAGAAAAAGACGAGAATCGCGTTACCTAACAAATACAAGAAGCGGTATTGGTCCGATTGGGATTCATCGATGTAAAATAAACAAAGCGCTATCGCGCTGCTTGGGTCTTTTCATACTCATTTATAGAAAGCGCGGTTGCGCTGTTTGGGATTCTTCGACAGTGTTTTTTCAATACCCCCTGGGACTCAAACGATTAAGCTGAACGGCTCAAGTAGCGTTACCGACGACGCCGGCCGGCCGGCGAGTTCAGCGTCGCTCCTTCCGACCTCGCGACCTCGTGTTCGCAAATTGGGGAGCTCGCGCGGAAAGAAAACTCGCGACTCGCCCGGAGCGACGCGCGCGCATGTAGCAAGTAATTGTTGTCCTTGTGTTCCGCCAGCGCTAACGTTGATTACAGGAAAAACAGGTCGATCTTGAAACAACAGCCGCGCTCCGCCGGGGGCGACACACACGGCAACGCCTCAAATCCTGTCCGTCACGATCATAGCCATAATAAGATTAGGCTAATTACGTTTATGCACTTAGGAAAAGCGGATCAGCCAGACCCTGCACGCGCGCGCGCCAAGCGGTTACGCAGCGAGTGGAGTCCGCTAATCTTGTTGTTTTGTTTGCTTTAGCGTGAATTTGCCATTGTGCCGTAGGCCGTGTAACGCGTAAGTACATGTTCAGGAATATGCTATTGAATATGAACTAAGCGACGAGCGTACCGGCGTACGCGGGAGAGAGAGAGAGAGAGAGAGAGAGAGAGAGAGAGAGAGAGAGAGAGAGAGAGAGAGAGAGAACTAGCCGCGCTTCGGTAACACGAGCGATGATCATGAATGCGCTAATTACGTTAGCCCGAAAGATTAATCAGCGACAAGAAACGCGAACACACGCAGGGAAGAGGGAGGGAGCGAGAGGGCGGATCAACACGGCGGCGATATTCCTCGCTGGGAATCGCACACGGCGTCCGCCGACCCTCCGGTAAGCCCACGGGGGTTTTCGCCCTTGGAGATCTGAGTGCGAGACTTACCGCTTCCGTATGCACGGGATGCGCGGCGAACAGCAGCCCGGTGAGAGCCGCGAATCCTGGCCGAAGCGCCGCCACCACGAGACTCACTCTGGTGACCAAGATGCACGCAGCGGCGTGGAGGGCGACGTTCGTGGCGTGATACCACATCGGGCTCAAGCCCGCCATTAAGTAGTTCAATCTGAAATCAATTGCAAACGGAACTCGTGTTAGGCCAGCGGTATCGAGACGAGGCGAGGCGAGACGAGGCGAGACGAGCGAGTCGCCACTCAGACGTCCGCGATTATCAGTCGGTTCGAAGTAAACCGGCAGACTGGCAAAACGAGGAGATTACTCAACGTCGGAGCCGACATTAGACACGCGACCCAAGTAGAAAAATTAATAAGGCTCTGGTAAAGGCCTGATTATTTTTCCCTAACTCAATCGGGCCCTAGCAGAGATAGAAAAACAAGGGCCTTACAAGATGTATAACAAATAGTTTAACGGGTTGTATACGATAATATTATGAGGGTCTTGTGAGAAAATATTTTTATTATTATTTGAGTAAAATATTTGTTCTCTTCATTTCAAGAAATTTAGACTACAATCTTTTTATTTCTTTATAATCTTGTTAGCATACAACAGGAATTTTTTATTTTAAAAATATAGCATTCTTTACACATAAAAATCCTGCTGCTGTTTTTATTAAAGTTTGCTGCATCTCCAAACGAAGATAATACTGGAAAAATTCTTGGAAGAGACTAACAAATATGGCAACTAATAAAACTAATAAAATTTGCTTTTAATTGCGGTATAATTAAAAAATCTTTAAAAGAACCAGAGATAGAGCATACCTATTAAAACAAACACTAAATTATGACAATTTTATTACACGCTTCAGATCTTATTAATTTTCTATAACAAAACTTTATTTTGTATATCTAAAATATCCTTAAAAGATCCTCCTGAGGCCCTTCTTAGTTTTCCTTATCAAAGCTTTATTTATTAAATCTAAGGCATCTCTAAAAAATCCTAAGGCCTTTCTTAGCTTTCTCTATCAAAGCCTTATTTTGTAAAATCTAAGATATCCTTAAAAGATCCATCTCCTGGTCTGATATGGTAATAATGAGACATCCCTTTTTAGGGTATCCTGCTTTCAGCCTTATCAGGGGTCTTATGCTTCACAAGGATGACCCTAATAATTTTTTGCTCGGATAGGCGCAAGGACAAGTGACAGAGGGAACGGACGACGACTAATTCCATTAGCCCGCCGAATTCGGGATGAACGGCGGATACGACGGTCGCTAGAGCGAATACTTTCAGGCGGCATTAGCGGATAAGATTCATACGTGCGCGTTACGTGCGAACGGCGAATATGATATTCGTCGGCGACGCGAGACTCGACGCACATTCCACGAGGTACACAAGTATCGCTCGTAAATAAGACGAGAATTAAAGTGACGTTTACGAATGACCGTGACGTGCCCGTTGCGCGTCGCACAGCGTAATTTCTACATCAAAGAGACATACTGTGACGCCTACGAACGAGCGAGAAAGAGAGAGAGAGAGAGAGAGAGAGAGAGAGAAACGCTCTTATCCGCGAGAAAGGGAACAAATTTCATTGTTACCGGATACAAAGAAACGCAGCAAGATAAATCCTGTCATCTTTCTGTTTATAAGCACAACGGATTTCAAACGCGGGCGCAATGTAGTTTTCGCGAAAATCCGCTTAAGTCGGCCGGTGTAATCGGATTTTAGAAAACCATTCCAACCGTTCTTCCTTTTCGCCGCGCGACTAGTCGAGGGACGCGCCTTCTTCTTCGAGGAAACCGGAGTAATCTATATTATGTATTTTTTCGTCTCTCTCTCTCTCCCCCTCTCTCTCTCTCTCCCTCTCTCTCTCTCTCTCTCTCTCTCTCTCTCTCTCTCTCTCTCGACGACGTGTGATATCGATCTACGTACGTGTGCGCGTGAGAGAAAGAGGGGGAGGGGAGACGAATGCGTCTATTATCATTCTAGGGTCAACCCTCCGAGAGGACACCTCAGCGAGAGGACAAATTGCAGACTGAACGGAAAATTACATCTCAAGGGAAAATCAAAGAGAAATCCGATTATGCGAAGAATGCGTATTTAAACGACGCGAGTAAGAATAAATAGAATCTTTGTTCGACAAGAATCAGACACATCTATGTGAGATGCCACAAGCCAGCGTAACGCCTCCACGTACTCGACGGTAAAGTTACACAAGTTGTCCGAGAACTACGCGCGGTCTGCATTAACATTGCCTAAGAGGAGAGACTTGTAACTCAAAGCCTCTTAACTTCAAGCATTTATGGCGTCTACATTTTTAATCGGGGGATTATCGAAGGACAGATTACTGATCGGGATCGGGAGTGGGACGGAGAGAGACGAAGGAGGGAGAGAGAAAATTCTCTACCGCGCGCTGCCAACGCCGTCATTCATCGGATTGCTTTATTAATCGGCGCGATCGAAGCCGAGGAACAACGACGACGTGAAGAGGGAAAGAGAGTGGTGGAGGTATTATATATATGAATCGCGTCGCGCCGACATCGAGATGAAAACAAACACCGTAGTTGCTGACGCAGCCGAGCTATAATTTTGGAAGTCTGCCGGCGGCATAAGTTCGACGCCCCCGAAGGAGCCGCGCGCTTGGCTCGCTTCCAGGTGTCAAGGATCATGGGTTGTCGGAGGCGTATCCTGTCTCCCCCTCAGCTCTAGATCAAGCAAAAAGCTCGCATACGTCGATCGCAGGACGACGGGCGGATTTAGCCGCGCGCAACTCGCGCGCGCTCGCGAGTTACAAACTGTTATCCGTCTAGATGCACTGCACATTTATCCCTTCAGCACGGCGAGCTGTGAGACGAAGGCCGAAGAGCTCGTGCCTCGCGCACCCTCGCCGGCTTCAGCTTGTGAACGCGGGGAATTTACTGCGTGTCGCGTGACGCCGTCGTTTAGAAATCCACGCGCGCGCGCGCGCGCGCACGCACGCATTTATACGTACTCGCTGACAAAGTTTATCGGTTCGCCGGTCGTGCGGCCTCTCGGTCCGCAAGTTTCCGGCGTATATACACGATGACTTAAAGCACGGGAGTGTGAGGACTGTGTGTTTAGGGGCCTCCTGTTTGCCCCAGCCGCCTCCTCTAAGCGCGGCCGCGTGCGCGTGCATTTCCGTTATGGAACAAAGTGCAGAGCGCGGGCTGACGACGACGTCGCGACATCGCGCTCTCGGACATTGAACAAGTATTGACACAGGCATTGGCGCTATCGATCACGCGTTTGAGCAGACCGAGACAATTATACGGACGAGATATCGCTCGCGCGCCTACGCGAAGAGGGAGGATGAAAGGGAGGACGTAATTGTGTTCGAAGCAGTCGGTACCTGGCCATCGGGTTCGAAAAACAAGAGGGAGATTAATCGCCAGGCAGCTGCAAACGTCTCTATTTGCCGTCTCCGGCTGCTCTGCGCGCGCATAATCAGTTATATTTTTCCCCCACCGAGAGAATAGTGTAACGCAATTTGTCTTCGTCGGAACAACTTTCCACTTTGCGCGAATTTTCCCTCTCATATCTTTTATTCATGTTATCATTGAAGCCCGCTGCTCGACGAACGCACAAAGGAGTCCGCCCGGTCTGAAAATAATTACAGACACTCTCTTTGTGTCCACGTGCAAACAATGAGGATTATTAACGTCAATGTTCGCTCTTAAGAAATATTCCGTACGGTGTACCAGCCGAATGCAACAACCACGCGACCAACAACAATCGGACAATGGCGTCGGCGGGATAAAAGTCGAGCGTTTTAGATACCTGGATACGGACACGCTCTCTGCATCGCCGATTATTAATCCGAGAATAATGCAAGCCCCGAGCCGACCCGCGGCTTCGCGAAGGCCGGAGGTAGTCTGATTTACTCGGCGACGGCGGAGGACTGTCGTCCTCCGCTGAGAAATCTACACGCGCCGCACCGTTCAGCTCGTAATTATGCGTTTGACTAATTCGGCCTTAAGCGCTTAATCGGCTTTGTTTTCACGCGACAACTCTTCGAAGAGGCGCGAGGAGCCGAAGCGACTTGACATTCGCGAGGCGCCTACTGTGTCGCTATTAATCACCGCGATGCGCCGATGCGCCGCATGTATCATCGTGATATATGTTGTTGCTGTTGTTATTGTTGCTGTTGTTGTTGTTGCTGTTGTTGCGATCAACGACAAATAACGTGTCGAGTTGACCGCAAATTTCCGCACTGTTGAGGGAAGCGCGGCACAACGCGAGGGACACCGCCTACACTTCGAAGATGACACTCACTCTTCGGCGAAAGGGAGCGGGAGGGAGAGACGAGGAGAGAGAGAGAGAGAGAGAGAGAGAGAGAGAGAGAACGCGAGTCTTACATTTGATAATTGGATTAGTATGTACTTTGTACTTTCCGGGCTCTCTCTCTCTCTCTCTCTCTCTCTCTCTCTCTCTCTCTCTCTCTCTCTCTCTCTCTCTCTCTGGAATAACGCCGGTGGTATAAGCGTATCATCAAAAGTTTGAAAACGACAGCGTAATATGACGAAGTAGAGCAGTTGCTCGTATTCGACCGCAGCGGGACCTGATACTAACTGTCTGACCGCAGCTACGCTCTTACTACTGGCTAACCACGACCGGTTCTATTACTACTGTTTGACCACACCGGCCCGTAACTACTGGCCAGCCGCAGAGCGCGATCAATACTTATTCCCGCTGTTCCGTCATTATCACTTTTGCGTTTGTGTTCGGAACAAAACGAGCGGCTCTCGCGCCGGCTAAATCAAAGCCTTTAATCACGGGAGAACCTCTGAAATCGGACGCGCGCTCCTTCACGGATAAGCGCGTCTTCGTGACGATCTGTCGCTTCTCTCTCTCTCTCTCTCTCTCTCTCTCTCTCTCTCCCTGCCCCCTTCTCATTCTCTTTCGCGCTGCTCGGCGTGCTGAAGCGTTCGTATCGCACAAAGCATCGCGCGCGCGCGGCGGGCAGATCAGCAGCGTGAAAAGAAAATCTTGGCAGAGTTCCGACGCGTAATTAACTAATGAAGTTTAGCCGGTCGCCGGTAAAGATGAATCGCGCGCCGGGGCGAACCTTTCCAAGAGACGCCCGGCGTTCGGCCTGTTCAAAAGGGCTCTCCTAAAGACGCCGCGTCGCGTCGCAAAAAGTCGAGAGATCGA